CACATCATATATCTTAGGATACGTATACAAGTCAGTTTGTTTTATGAATGGCGGCTACTTCAATGTTAAAAAGTCATCAAAATCAGGCATTTCTTCCATTCCAGAACCAGATTTTGGTCATGTGTGTATGGATATCATGCAAACATTGGAAATATGGGACTTTGATGCATGTCATTTTGTTTTTCAGATCGGATTTATATAATTTATAACTGGCAGCCATTGTTCATCTTGGTACATATATTAAGCATATATCAGAACTTTAGATTGGATTCTGAATTGCTGAATGCAAATGCTGTTCTAGAAACATGTCTCTGACGTACATTGACTGATCATAATCAAATTTACAACAACTACATTATACATCATGTTATTGTTTCAAGTTGTGATTGAGGGTTGCTGACTCATTTCTGTTTTGTTCACTCTTGAACTAACGGACTATTTCATGTTATGAGATTAAGTCTTTGTTCTTTTAAAAATTTCCCATGAAGAAACTTTTGTTTTGTAGGGATTCAGCACCATGCAGTTTGTTTTTCCCATGTATCACTTTTGATGAATGTTGATCTCCAAACACGCATAGATTTGGTGAATTAACATCTGATTTTTGAATGTTTTACAACAGGTTAATATTATGTCGTCGGTGCCCGAACCACCGAGTGCAATAGAAAACAAGTATGTAGTGAAGAAGAATTCAGCGCAGTTAGTAAGTTGACAAATTTGTTGTTTCTGTTTTGATGTGAAATTGTTGACATCAAATGTTAACCTAACAAAATATACATACTTGATCATCATTGTAAATGCCAGTATATGACATCCAACACCATGTAGAAACTTTTTAGAATGCAAAAATATTAAGAGAAATAACAAAAACCCCATGCAGTATCATGAAGATTTGGTCCGTCATTTTGTAAACACATCATAAAACATGAACCACTGCATTGTGAACAAAACTTAGGTTTAATCCACTGATAAGAAAAGTCTACATTGTGATTTGGTCTACTGACAGTATGTATCAACTAATTTATTAAAATTATTAGGAGAATACAGCCAATAGCAAATCAATGTCAACTGTGAAACCTGCTAAAGAAGAAGTTCTGGCCTTGCCACGTCAGGAGCCACCTCATCAGGCAAGTTTCTTGTTAAACAGTTTCTAAAGATTGTACTGAAGGTATATTGGAGGGCACTTCAAAATCAAAATATTATTTATCTTGAAAAGTGTTAAATATATGACTAAATGTGTTTTGGCAAAATTAAAATAACTTCTACATCCTGTAGAGCATTCTGGGAAAAAATACAACCATAGAGGGCACTGTTTTCAGAAATTGATTTGTACAAAATAATTTTTAGTTGGCTGTATTTGAGCATCTTTTTTCATTCTTTAGGTGTCCTCATTTTTCTTGCTAAATTTTCAAGTTGGTGCACAATTTTTTCCACTTTTTCTTGTATTTTTCTATAATTGTTTTGTTAATTTTGGACATTAATTCCTATAACTACAAATATTGATTATGATTTTGGAATAAATTCAAATTATCTTATTTTGTGAAAAGTAACAAAATTTGACCTTGGCAATGAGTAGGTTTAAACACAGCCTGATAAACAACGCTACGCAGTCATGTTCTCATTTTATGGGTACCTATATTGTATTGGCTCTATTACCAAGAGGTAATGATTTTTTGATTTTCTATTACTGTACGTCATTCTGACATTATATCCTATAGCAATAACTGACATTTTACTTTAGTATTATATATATTTCATTGCTGTCATTTTATTGCTGTCAACCAATGGAAACTATTTCTAAAGATGCAATAAATTTATTATTATTATATGTGTTAGACATGTGTATATACACCACATTTACACAAATATTGCCATTGAACAGGTGCCACCTCATTTATCACATCTGTTTCTGTGATTCATGATAAGGTAGAAGAGTTTTGAATCTGTATACATGTTATTTTTGATATAAATTTTTTATGTCAGGCTTCATCGATGCAAAGTAATGGTGTTTTAAATGGAGCAGTCATAATAGAGGAGGAAACAGTTAACCAACCACCAACTGAATTACAAAAAGCACATGAAGAATGGGAAGCCTTAGAGACAGTACAGCCAGGTCAGTTTGGGGTCAGAGTTCATAGGTCACAGACTGGAGATCTTGTTTTATTGGGGTATAGAAAGGGTTGGGGTTACAAGAAGCTATTTACCTAACTCAAATATTAAGCAGGATTCAAAAAAATAGACAACTATAGTCTGTTGTATTGTCGGCAAAACTTAGTTGGAAGCCCTTTACTAAAAATCAAAATTATGGCATTCATACTGATCGGAAATATATTGTGCCATTTATTATTAGTTATTTACCGTCTTTACTACAATCCTTTCATGCATTTCTGTTTGAATTTTGCATTATGTGCGTACTAAACACTACTAACGTAAGAAGTACGAAATGTTTGATTTTCACATTGGTAAGACAAGTAAAAATCATCAAGTCATCCTAGAAATTCAAAATGGACGGACTTCAATGGCTATACAGAAAACACCTCAAGAGTGTGGTGTTCATCTCAGACTAATCTTAATGAAAAATGTTTCACATCAAATCTAAATTTTGTAATATAAGTCCATCTTTAATTACCAAACAGAGAATCCTGCATGCAGGATTGACTGAAAAATCCATTACAACTGAATCCACAAAACTGCTCAGTGATGTTCGGTTTAATATTGGCAAGGCAGATTTCTCGCCAATACTGTAGCTGCTTTATTAATTACAGTACACACTATATCACTTGAAATGTCAAAAGTCAGCAATACAACATTTTGTATCGCTGTCAGCATGTGCATAGTGCTCACACAGTATTGAATGTAGCCAGTATGTAGACATCTGCTATAAATCAGGTGTGCATTCACCATTTTACCACCAGTTCCCTCTATTCATCACAAATTCACAAAATAGTCCTGTTTATAGTCTGCACTTTCCTTCAGAAGAGTAAAAACTTAAAATTGACTAACATTTTGTTTGTTGGCTCCAAAATTAGGGTTCATTTCCAGAAATATTGAAGAATATAAGAAAGAAAGTGCGGAAAATTTGGGCGAGAAAGTCTGGTGGTTAAAAGCAAGTGTCACTGAGTAAATTCAAACAATTGTCAAAATTATGTTTCATGCTTATAGTCCTAATTAAAGATTTTTTTGTGGCAATAGAGAACTTTAGTTTTATCATGAGCAATGTTTATGATTTGAACTGAGTGTCGATCGTAAACATCAATCAGAGAACAGAACAATGATTATAGAACAATAGAATTTATACATAAGCATTTTTGACAACAGTGTTGCTTTAAGCAAATCACCCAATTCACTGAAATAACCACAACCATAAAATCTGTATTAGAAGTCTCATCCCTAACAAAAGTCGCTCCCATTCTTTTTTGAACAATTGAGAACCAAAAATTCACAATTTATCAGATGTATAGATGTAGAGCACAGAAGCCACATCCCTTCTGTTGCATTGTACCATTTTAATAGAAACCGTGGTTTTTAATACAGATTTTACAGTACTAGAAACTTTCTTGAAATACAGTTATATATCAGTGGTTTATTGAAGTGACATCATTGACGTACTCTAAGTGTTCATAACACTGCGTGTTCATTCTGTAATATCAACATACCATTCTACTAACACTATCAATTTATCTGGTTAAGGTTGCTCAATACGGTTTCCTGAACGTAGTTGGATCGAAGTTGATGCACAGGCATTTTCCCAAGAGAACATGCTCTATCTCCCATGTGTTAGCATAGGGCGAGTTACTTGTACAACTATATTTTTTAAAATAGGTCCGTACCCCCTATTTTTATTTTCAGACAGAAGATTATTTTTTATTGGACAGTTCATGCTTTACTTGTTTCCCATAAAGTCCCATGTATTAACTCCGTATTCTGCATACAGTAATATCAAGTTTATCTCATAAACTTGGGTTCATACCCCCAATATTACTTTTCATCTTGTATAGCAATATACAAGGTCATACATACAAAATATAAAAAGATTCCAAATAATTTTGTGAAACTGGATTGAGCAACCTATGTCTTATGTCTCATTCTGCTCATTATGTATGCTAATCATCTTTTGTGTTTGTTTTCATTCCATGACGTCAGGCCTTGATGAAACAGGTGAATACAGCTATAGTGTTTTATCAACTCATTCACTGTTTGTACCTGTCAAATCTGTGTTAAAACCTGCATCACTATTAGAAGTCACACCTATTTATTTAATGCAATTGTAAACTCAAAATTCACCATTTATCATATGGGAAGATGGAATCTGCATTCCCTCTGTTGCATTTTACCATTTCACCATTTTAAAGCGAGTGAGTCGTCACCTGCGCATACGGCAGATGGCCATAGCGTGTCGTTGTTTACAAACAATCATCTACCCATGAGCCTTTGCATTTTTATCATAAGTTTTTGTTGATTAGGATTCAATTCCTGTGCATACACAAGAACGAATCCCTTTGCTTTAATAGAAGCCACAGCTTTTAATACAGATTTTACAAAACTCTTTATAATTTATCTCATAGATGGAGCAATTATTCTCCGCTTTCAATATCTTGTTTATTTCTACTAAAATCAGGCCGGCTTTGTCGCATCATATCTGATATTGGTGCCATACAAAGTACATGTATAAACAGAGCATGCAAAATATGTTGTGTTTATATTTTAATGCATTCTATGTGGTGACTATGTAACATGTTTTGTTTGGTTAAACATTTCACTATCCAACATACTGTTAGTGGATACCTAGCATCAGTTTAATGGAAATTTTGTTGTCTTGATAAAGCTTGTTTCGTAGCTAATTACTAATATTTGGTCATTTTCATAACGAAGACAAACATGAATAAAAATTTGCTACAATTTTTGAATGACCCCAGGGCAGATAAAAAATCAGTGTTAAATTAAGGTTAAAACATCCTCTAAAACTAAAAACAAACATAATCTGTTTTACTGTATATCGCTCACTATTCCCATATTTGAAAATTGCAAACAAAAACATAGGCGTAGGTTTCAAACTGACACATACAATGACGAAAATAAAATATTATATTGATATTCTGTGTGTGAATATTGAATCTCAGATATTTGGTGCAAGGTGTTCTGGGGACAGTGTTTGTGATTTACTGTAGACTGCTTAATTTTTGCTGCTAGAAAATTTCATGAATTTATGACATTTGTGAAAACAAAGTCACTGATTATCTGCATAGTAATTTGCACTGTTACAAAATTTGGGGATTTTCACTGACCTGCGTAATTCACTAAAATTTGTCAATCATAAAATCAAAATGCTTTATACTAGATTAGTACATGTGTAAATGAGATATGGTAATTATATTTGCTCTCTTCTATTCTAATAATTTATTGTTTTTTCCTAGGTTCTGGTCAAGAACCAAACAGATCCAAAATGATCTCATTTAATGAAGTATTAGGTTATTTCCAGACAGCGGATATGAGTTCATACATGGTAAGATCTGATGTACTTTATATAGCTGAGGTAGATAGTGTTAACCTTTTTACCACCAGTTCCTACTTTTCATCACAAATTCACAAAATAGTCCCATTTATAGTCTGTACTCTCCTTCAGAAGATTAGAACAAAAATAGCTAATTTTTTGAATAAAAACTGAACATTGACTCAAATTTTGTCTCTTGGCCCCAAAATTAGCGTTCATTTCCAGAAATATTGAAGAAAATAAGAAAAAAGTGCAGAAGAATTTGGGCGAGAAAGTCTGTAAAAAGATTAAGGGTTGCAGACAGCAAATGAAATGGCTTTTGAAGTATATTGGCGCAGATACTGTATTTCTGAAGGTCACATTGACTTATTGTTTCTAAAAACAATTATTTGGGTGTTTTAATCAGCAAATCAGGATCTACTGTAAAATCTTTATTTGAAGCAGCGATTTCTATTAAAATGGTACAATGCAATAGAGGGGATGCGTTTTCTGTTAGAGCATCCACACAAATGAGAAATTGTGATTTTTTTTCATTCTCATTTGTTCAAAAAAAAATAGGTGTGACTTCTTATTAGGGTTGCAGCTTCAAATACAGATTTTACGGTACTTTCAGAAACATGTCTCAAATTATTCCATATGGCTAAAAACTTACTTAAATTATTCTCCAGTTTTTCTTCCTCACTATTGAATCATCTTTCGAATGTTGTTTGTTCAGCACCTGCAAATCCAGATTCAAGGCTTATCTATTGTCACAAGCATTCCTGTGAAATGTGAGCTGCTTTATAAGCTGAACAGTCATTAATTAAACTGAGTAATTCTGAAAACTGATGGACATATACCTTATATAAGTCATTTCAGTTAATGCAATCCACATACTCGTTGTATCTTGGTCTGCATCCTCGTTATTGATGTATGTTTACCGTAACCCGAATGTTGCCAGCAGCTCAAAATATCGATGGATTCCATACTATGTCTACAGCGCAAACTGAATATTTATTGTTTTATACATTATTTTATTCACAGAAAAAAATCAAACCAACTCAACACAGGACTGGGTTTGCGGCATTCAAGCATCTTATATTCGGACCTCCAAAGATGAATAGGAATTTACATGAGGAAAGAAACCTGATATTTGCTATAGCACAGTGTATGTATATGCCTTGTATTGTCTTCCTGTATACGTACTTTAATAGTTCATCAAGTTAATCATAAGAATCACATACATTTTCAGTAATCAACATTATTTGAACTTTATATATACTGTAAAATACTTAATTTTTAGCTGGAATAAATTTTTGCTGAAAAGACGTTTTGGGTGTTTTGTAAGGAGTTTATTTTCAATGATTTTTAATGAGTTGAATGTAAAAAACGGGAAAAATATTCAGTGGATTTTATTTTCACTGAATCGCCCGCAAAGAACATCTTCATGTATAAGGACACCTAAAACCAAATTTGCATTTACTGTATATCCTTAAAATACAACTCATTATACCTGTCGTTTATATAGGCACATGCATTACTAATAACACAAATAAGATTTTGACCAGGGATGTCTCATGAACATAAAGATTAGTGAATGTGCATTTCTCTTGGTCACAATTATGTTAAACAGACAGATTTCTACTTTTTTTTATATATATATATATCTACTTTGTTTATATACAATAGTATTTTATAAATCTTATTTTTTCATTTCTTAGGTCCGCTGGACAGTGGGGAGCAAATTCACAATAGAACTTTACAGACTATTTATAGAAAACTCACAGGCAGTACTTTTGACTGTCCTAGGTATGGCAGTCATTGGGAACAAATTGGTTTCCAAGGTAACTTTATCATCATACCATTTTTATTTGTTATTTTTTTACTGGATGATTTTATAACAGTGTAATCAGCCACAGGCAAAATTTTACACCTCAATCACAGGGATTTTTTCAAATACGCTATATTTCTCATAGATATTTTTTATTATTTATTTATATATTTTATATAAAAACATTTCTTCAAGCCAAAATTTAGCAAATTTGATAAATGGAAACGCTGCCAAACGCAAAAAGTAGGCCCGCTCTTGAGCACAATAGAAGGAATGTTCAAAATCGCATGAATGGGATCATCAATGTAATTCTGACGAAACGATCCCAATGAATCATAGAAAAAGAAGCCTGTCACCTGATCGCCATGCATTGTCACAATTCAAAAGTAATTACAGTTGGTGTGACTTATAATGAACACCAGGTCAATCTCGAGTTTTATGTTGTCTTAAAGACCACATCACACTGATATTTTCAACTTTGAAACTAAAAGGCTGACTATTTTCAGAATTATTTGTATGGTTGTTAGACATGTGAGTGATATTTGTCTTGTTTGTTTTGATGTGTAGACGACATAAAAGGTATAGATTTGAATTTGAGAAGTTTATCTGCCCAATATTATGGAATTTATGCAATATTTTTTTTTTTCACAGGATCAGATCCAGCAACTGATCTCCGAGCGGCAGGCTATTTTAGTTTAATGACTCTTTTATACTTTGTGATGGATCCAAGAACTCTACCGTTGGCTCGTGATATTTATAGACTCTCGTTAAATGAGGTGCAAGTAAGTGATATTGACCTGAATTTTAAAAATCATTCATGGGTCACACATCCTGATGATTTGAGTGTTTAAAATCCATGAACCTTAAATTCAAGTTTATTTCATCCATAGTTGTTTTGTTATAATAATTATACCTTTTCAAACTAGCAGGCATTATGATCTAGAGCACTGAGCATTTTTTACAGCAGATGCCAACCCTTTCCAATGTTGTAATATTCCTAGGAACATTGCTGGCGTTTTTATGTTTTAACATTGCTATCAAATGTTGGAAAGTAATAACATAAACTTTGAATATGGAAATGACTATTCAATTTCACTGAAACAATGTCTCATGTCATGATGTTCAGCAATTGACTTTCTTGTTACTATGAAAAATTAAAAATTACTAAGTGTACACTGTATATAGTTTGTTTGTATCAAAATGTTTGTACCCATGTATGGAAATAAAAATAAAATTTTATTTCAGCGTAATTTCTCGCGCCCGCCGAATTGTCAGTGCAAAAAATCACTAAAAAAAAATATTTTTATCTTCATTTTTTTGCGCCCGCCGCACAACAAATGCAAGTTGCATTTTCGTGGGAGTATCATGATCAAAGTATCGAAGTCTCACGCAGATGAGAAACAAGATTATACATGGAATAACATTTTATTTCATTTCTTCTCTCCGATCAACGATCTCACTTAACAATTCTTTGAGAATCACACAAATCTAATGGAAAAAAAGAATTAATTTTATTTATTTGCCTTATAAAAACTCGAGAAACAAGGAATAAAAAAAGTCTGGTCTTATTGCATATATATGCAATGTATTATGGGTGACTGCCTCTAATGGAAAACTTCTATCACCCTGAAAACTCGTTACGGTATAACTCAAATTATATGTAAATTTTTTGAAATGTTTTCACAATACCAAAAGTCATATCATTAATATTAATGTTTGACTTTGTAATCTTATGTCACTGAGCAAATATTTGAGAAATAATCTCACAATAGGAACTAAAAAAATACCAAATTTAGTCTATTTCCCATGATATTTCAGACTCGTGTATCACAAAAATTTTCTGGCAACCCCAATTTATTTTTTTCATTTCCTAATGCCCTGATGAGTAAGTATGACAAATGTGACATTAATCTTAAACTTGGCTGGAATCTCCTCCTTTCATACAATTAAAAAGTGCTCCCATGCTGCATGTGGACGATAATTCAAGTTCATATATTTGAAAACAATAAAGATAGCTACTCGACTCACTTCTGTTCTGTGTCTTATCTATGAAATACCTGTGTCATTTGGAGTTGAATTAACTCCACATACCTCACTTCCATGTAACCAACCACGTTTTCAATTTCAGAATTTTCCTTTTTGTGTGATGTCCATTAACATGACAAGGATTTCAATCCAGGCACTGCGAGAAGAATGTCTGTCAAAGTAAGTAATGAAACACTAGGGGGCACTCCACATGTGATCTCATGAGATCTCACATTTTATGAGACCTTGTGAGATTTTGATTCACAATTATAAGATTATTTAAAGGACATTTTGCACAAATTATGTTTGTAAATTTGACAGCCATAAACTACCATTTTTGATTTACAGCTGCCTGCAGCTACCAATCTGGCTTTATTCATAAAAAAAAAAAAAAAATGTGTGTTGTGCTCCAGACACTGTAGCTAACCTGCCTAGGTATCGGCTTAACATTTTGTGTTTATTATTACCATGTTACAAAAAATGTTTTTTGCACTTGTATATTTTACATGAAATGCTGAAACTATAGGGGCATCTTGCTATAGTGTAATATCTTCTACTACTCTGAGATCATTAAATCTTCACCTCGTATCAGTTCTTTGAGTTGTTATTATCCTTCTCCAAATTATAACTGGAAGCAAGAAAAACTCTTAGACTATTATTAAAATACCACGGTTTTGTACAGCGCATGTTAGAATACATTTTACATTGTTATGCTCCAATGTCTGGTGCTTTAATATTTTCATAAGAATTCCACACAGTGTGCACATTTGTAGTATGATTAAAATCACATAAACATCTCCTACAATGTGGCCAATATCATCATAGTACTCAATTCATATCATACCTCGTAATAATCATGTACTGAATACAGTAATGTGATTAAGGTCAAGGGTCATATACTGTGAAGTAGACAGTACTGTGATTAAGGTCAAGGGTCATATACTGAATACAGTACTGTGGCAGGGTTCATGTATCTATCCTTTTCTCACTTCTAGGGAATGTAACCGACGGCAACAGGTCTTTGGCGTAATCAATGATTTCTTTGTCGGTACTTATTTACATCTTTACCTTATATGGAAAAAACAACACAAGACTATTCGTGATTCCGGATTTGTGCTTAAAGGTGGGATATCATTGTTGAATAATTTGTATGTTGAAAGAAATGTTTTGTAGAATACTCAACTCTCTGTTGTTGATTATACGAATATCTGAGGTCATCAATTGATCACAGTCGTCATGGGTGTTAAATTTTTAACAATCAATGTATTTTATACTCGTTGACATCCATATCAAACATGACACATTGTGGAATAACTGTGATATTTTGACCAGCACTAATTGTATTAATTATTGTACATGTGCTTTTAATATATCAATATCCTTGTACATTACAGAAGTAGAAACATTTGCTAAGAAGAACCCTCGTAGCATCATCAGGAATCTGGAAGCATACTTATCTGAGGGAAAACATAACGCGGCAAATGCTCAGAAACCCAATGAGGAACCGATGAGTTTTGCTGGAGTACATGAATTAGATCACGAGGAAGATAATTAGGTATGTGTAACCATAGAAACAATGTCAATACTTTTGATTTTAAAATAAATATAATAATATTTAGCACAATCACCTACATACATTGAGCTAAACACCATTGCAGTGTTGA